TGGGTGAAACTTACGTAGGTCTCCTCTTCTGCTTCTACAACTGGTGATCCTAAGTATTGGTCATCACATATGGATTTTCGTTTCCTGTGTGTTTGACTAATAATGAAGTTTTCATTTTTACACCTTTTATTATCTTTGCAATCTATGCATTTTTGTATACCTAACGTGGTCATTTAGGCTTAGCACTGTTTTTTTAATCTAAAATCTAACTAGTAATTAGCAAACACAGCTGGAAGTTTTACGTTTTCCGATTGTTTAATGAATAATGCGTTAAGCTATTTACTTCTCTTCGAACTTCTCCATCATCATATAAACCTATGGTAATAGCGTCGTTTGCACGCGGTTTTCCTTTTTGGCCGTGTTTCTTGAGTATTTAAAGCGGCACCGTTTGTTCGACGCGAACGCATACCATCGAAAACTCCTGGCAGGCCCGAGGTGAAAGTTTTCATTTAAACATATTCCTTGTGTCATAGTAATTCATAATTCAGCTTGCGCACCCAAAATACAAACACTGACCCGATTGTCCTATTCAGTAGTAATTTTATTATTCGTCGTTTTTTTATGATTATTTTCAGTATTGAGCTTGGGTTGCTTTGTTATCTAATCTGTATGACATAGAGCCAAAGCATATATCAGTTTTCTATACTGAAAGCTCACCGCCAAGTCTTTATTAATTATTTCTCGCTTGTAGTTCCATTATACATACGTTCTTGCTACGTACTACTCATTATTTTGCGTTTTTTTTTTCAACTTTACTTGAAACGGCTTCAAACATGTCTATCTCCAAAGTTGCTATTCCTTTTATTTTTTTTGTTTTATCGTACAGTTGTACTCACCAATTACGTAGGGAGCATCCAGATCTTTTTCTATAGAGTTGTTTCTAATACTGTATCTGATTATCTGATTAAATAATTCAACGAAGTTTTTTCCATATGCTATAAGTGCCATTCCCGGCGATCATGTTTATTTCATATCACCATCATTCACCGTGATTATATTTTCAATTCAGCATCTAAATCACTCCCTAGTCATTCTGAATAGAGCCACTTAATCCATAAACAACTTTTTGATGGTAGCCGTCCGTCAAAAAATATTGGTAGATGTAGATTCGTTGAAGTGACGCTTAAGTACGCCATGTACGAAATGTTCGAGTTCAAGTAAATGCTGAACTGGTAGCAAGCCAACGTTCCCAAAAATGCAAGGTCTCAAAAAAGCCAATAGGTACAAAAGGTTAAAAAAGACGTGGAGAATCTCAAAAAGGCTGGGCAGGTGTTGTAGCCTATCGAGACGATTCAATAGGCAATTGATATTGTGGCTTTCAAAACAACTGTTGATTTCTATGTAAAAGATAAAGGTGTATAGAAATAGGTCTTTAGGTCATTGTGATAAAGTTTGAGCACCTTAAATCTGTCCTTTTTGCGGTTTGTTTTCTGGTAATCTTTTTCAGATTTTTCAGAAGTCGCATGAAACCTGGTAATAACATAGATCGTCAATTTCGGGCAAAAATAAAGGTTTATAATTTTAGTGGGAGTCCGTCCTGCGTAAACATGTTGAGTCCATCTAGGGGAAATAAGCGCCAACAAACAACTTTACTGAAACTGGGAAGACAAAGTGCCACCAGTAGATTTCATTTTCCACCAAACAAAAGCACCGACAAACATACGTCATTTTCCATGCTTTATGATTAGTGAGTTAATGGACGTTTCGGTTTTTGACAACATAAGTTGTACAGAGATTTAACTACGCGATTTACATGAGGACTGAGTCCCACCAGGTCAATCTGTGAAATCAGTGCCCAACATATCAGTGGTAAACTGTTTGATCTACGCCGCTTTGGTTAATTTACTGGTGCTGATGTTTATGTAATGTACACACACTTGACTTGATTAATAAATAGATGCTATGGCGTCGAATGGGGAAAGGAACAAAAAAATATGTGTCTGTGTGCTGCTGATCTAGAAAATAGCTTGGAAAATTCTGGTTAGTTTTGTGTGTAGATTTAATTGATGCATGAATTTTAGTGAAACGAATAATATCTAGAAAGTGGAAGCAGTAGCGGACGCTTATTATCAGGTGTTTGGGAAATGGTGAAAAAGAAGGTATATATGAGGGAATCGTTTTCATTAGCAAAACCAAAAACCCGCTGCGGATAGTAATACTGCGCGACAAAACTTTGTCGACTTTAAATGCTAGAAAGACGGTAATATCAAGTGTTAAGTTACCATGCTCGTATTCGGAAAGCAAATTTTCCTTAAGATGCTTCTGCGGTGTTAGACATCTGTGCCGTATGATCTTATCGAAAGGGGCCTTTCGACTAAATCGATATTTAGGGAAGTAATAGAATACAAGTATGAGCAAGCTTGCTGCAGTATGACAATAAATTAACTAATGGATTTACCGAATCGTAATTCCAGGTTGACTGTAACATCAACGGATCGGGTAGAACAATGGCAAAGCCCGCTCGGCAACTAGGGATCCGCCTCGAGTAGAATAAAGAATGTTACAGCGGCTTTTCTTGTTGCATGACACGAATGAAGAAATGTAATCACATGTAGATTATCTTACTGCCCATAATATCGCTCGGCTACGTTGAATCAAAGTCATTATGAACACAACGGTGCGCGCTAGTACACGAGGGCATCTCTCTTACACAACAAAAATTCGTAAAAGAAGGGATTTCATCCGCAAAACCCGACAAAGTATTATGCATTTTACTAGCTATCCTCAAAAGGTCTATGTCTTATTTAGGCCAGTCAGCCTCTAGACCAAAATTTAATAGAACAATATTTGACAACGTGAGGTATATGGGAAAGTATCACCAAATCGCAGGGTACGTCAGAGGAACTCAGTTAGCTAATAAAAATGTAAGCGGCTATAAACAAGAAATCTATCTACTCGCCTATTAAACTAACGTCTAACAAAAATAAGGGTACGATCGAAGATTGAATGTGAAGAAATTGTCAGTGCAGTTCTATACCTTAATCTTAATGTTAATTTTCTATCTGATAATAACAGATAGATAAAGTCCATTGATAAAAACTGAACTGTTGACTAGTGAAAAGTAAAGTTTATATCTGACCTTCATAACCTACCGACGCAGTGATCTGTGTCACTATTATCGTGACGACGACTGAAGATGTGCAAATGATTATGCAAGTGCCTACAGACACTTCTACTAAAAGTGTAATAAAGATGTCGTTTATCTATTATGGTATTCAATTAGTATACAGAATGACGTATTTCGCAGATGTCACCACTACCTAGTGGCCCTCTAACACAAGGGTCAAACACTTGCACCAGCAGGGAATCATTCTTTTGGCTGAAGGGTCTTATGTGAAATCTAAGGACGGACTGCATCAAGGGTCGACATAGGGAAAACAAATCGTTTTAGCAACGCCATAAAGCCTGGGTTAGTTTTGACTGCATCCATTATCTATGGATTGACTTTGTACCGCCACTATTAGCTCAAAAAATAAGCAGGAGACAACGGGTGAGTCAACATTACGATATCAGAAGACTCCACGTTGTGTCAATTTAATTATCTAAATGCTATTGCTGCTCTTGACTTTTCGTTCTTCATTACAGTATTCATCATTGTGTGGATGTCAGCCATCCCTCCCGTTGTTTTATAGTGATCTGCTCAAAAGGAAACCTTCGTATTATCATCAGCAGTCATCATTATAGTTAATTTGTTATTACTGCAGCAAAGATAGATGTTGCACTCCCACTGCAGGCTGCTACTAACTACAGGGATATTTCTTATCTCACTCATCACCCGTGATAAAAATTTTACGGTTTAAGGGTGCCTGATAATTTCTTAAGACTTCCCACTAATCGGCCCATGATCTCCATTGCGACTGGAGTGAAGAGGTGTTTATCGTTAAAACCGCTGTACTGCCGCGTCTACCCTGCGTTAGTATGTTCGGCTACCCATCCTTCAGTAGAAACGCTACAATCAATATAATCGCGGGCCAATATGCAGGAACTTTTTTAAACCTCTATTCTAGGGTGCGTTGTAAAATAATATTAATAATATAATTACGTTTAGGGGTATATATATATTTAGTACATGGTGTATAATAGAGGCTCTAGTTTAATTTTCTTTTTCTGATGCCTTTAGCAAAGGTAAATTAATCATCTGTGCTTTGATTGATTTAAAAGGTTCGGTAACTTCGGCGTGTGCCTTCTGTTCCTCTTTTGTGCAAAGATCGGAACAATGTTATAAGCCCAACGATAATTGTATCCTTGAATCTGTATCCATTACAGAATAAGGAGATCTAAATATACTGTTTTGTGTATTTTTCAACTCCCAAGCACTGTGAACTCTCTCGTTTTAACGTTATTGACTATCACTAACGACAAGATGAGCGCCGCGGTATAACGAGATTTTTTGAACCATTTTTAGATCCCTTGCAAACACAGGTCTTTTTTCATGTCGTTTTATTTTCCTTGTAACCCCAACTGTAATAAGAAAAAGTTCCTCTGTAGTTGTCACATCAATCGCTAGGGTCGTGCCAAACGTTACTCTAATTTTTTTTTTCTAATAAAGATTTTAAATTTTAATTTGATTTTGTCTTCTCTGGACGAAGGCTCTAGACTTTTAAAGCGTTTCAACAGGTCTTCGTTCAATAACTTTGAAAGAACACACCCGTAACCTTTCCCCAAGGAAAATGTCACGAACGGATTAAGCTGCTATGCTGTATACCCAGTCATACTAGAAAAATAGGTTAGATCTAGTTGTATTCGGATGACTACCTTTTCTATGGCGTTACACGGTTTTCTAATTTTGACATGAATCTCTAATAAAACCCGTCCTTGTAGGGCTCAAAATGTTCCATAATATTTCGGATTTAGCTTGTTGCCTATGATTCGCCGCTTATATGACTGTCACTTTAACTAGGTTTTCTTTCCTGTTTAATGTTTGTTTACCATCAGAAACGTTAACATTGAGGGCAGCTACAATCACATTCATAGTCTAAAAATAAACATGGATTCTGTCATTGAAGCACAATTTTTATTCACAACATATTCTACGATGTATATACGATGTATAAGCATATGTACGCACTTTACTTATTAAATACGCCTCCCTGAGACGTTGCTCTTGCTACTTATATGACTCCCTCTTATCAATAATTCCTTAAATAAGAGTAATTGTTATTTTTCTACTTTGGACTTCGGCTCGTAAAGTGTTGTAAGTGTCAAAAGCTGTGCCTAAATGTTCAAACTTAAAATTCAGCTATAAAGGACAAACTACTACTTGCCACATACTTCAAGATATTATTAAGTATAGTCAGTAAGTGAAAATTCATCATATTTTTAATATATAAGCTACTTATATTCAGCTTCACTTTCATTCTTTTTCGCAACCGAACAGGACATGCTTTAACTTTACTATTTCGATAGTCCTTTTGTCTAGCCGCTGACTAACGCAAATGACCAATTGAACCAACGCTAGCTAGCCAACTTTAAGGAATTTTCGCGTATTGGAACATCCGTTTTTCATGTGCGACTTCTATAAAAATTAAGTGTGACCATGTCTGTGAAACTGACGGCTTAACCAGCGCCAATGAATCAGTTTTGCTTTGAAATGACTTAATAATGATGGCTTATTTGCTCTTCTGCCGCATACTGAGGCTTCTCCTGCCTGTGTTTAAAATTAGTTTCCCTTTTTCACTTCTTGATAGGCAACGTCTTCTTCGCGGATATCGTCGACGCCATTTTTTAGGGTCCCTCGCAGCGATTTATAAAGTATTGCTGTTATAATCTGTAAGGGCAAGAGCACGAAAATGCGAAGATGATTTTTGGTCACTGCTAGAAGCTGGACTGTAACAATATATACATATATATATAAAATACACGTACACTTGGCCACTATAAATAGTTGCATTAATCTGATCATTGTTGCTGGTGCTCAAACGACCATCTTTTTATGGCAAAGTAATCACTCTGCTTGAACGTAGTGCTATACACAGAGTGCACAGGATCGGTTTCTCGAACACAAAAAAGTTCAGGTGAACATCGAAGAAGTAAATTGCCAACAGGGCTGTGAAACTGACGGTTCGGTCTAATTTGTATTTATTACCATTTTGGCGACGTGCTTTTTCTTTTTAAGGTTGATTGACGTACGTGCTGTGTAGGTACGCCTTAGTGAATTCGAACTACTGATGCCTCAAACTTAGCAAGTGTATATTTTTCAAGTTAACCAAGGTTTTAGTTCATTCAATAGATCTTTATATGCTCAACTAAACATTAAAAGTCATCATATTGACATCTACATGCATCGCTTGCTATATTCCGTTACTTTTTCGATACATATGTGTTTAAAAATGTTCATGTGCGAATATGTACAAGACATACATCACATATACTTAACTTAAAACTATCATTTAGCTTTGTGTTGAAGGCATTAAAAAATTACCGTCAATATAGGCTCAACATCAAGTATACTCTATATCAACTATAGAAAAATGTCATTGGGAGGTCTATGAATGAGCTGCGTTTCGGGTTGCTTTAATTACAGTATAAATTATGCATCTGAGAAAAAGTTTCGAAATCAAAAACTTCATTCGATAAACTTTTCAAACTTTTTTCACATACAGTAATTTTATTTTCAATAGAAATGTTCACCTTTATGTGTGACCTTGTACCATTTAGATGGAAGTTAATGTAAAAAAAGTCTATAACGAGTTGAACCACATGTGAATATCTGAACGATTTTTCTAATAAGAAGTTTAAGAGATTTTTTAAAGAATGATGAATTGTGAGAGCAATGTTTGGTGAATATGGCGAATAGCACAAGGCCTCCAACTATAACTTCCACATTTTTTTCATTGTGATTCTCGTAGTGCAAGGTCGATTTTTGTCATGTAATAGGAATAGCCTTCTTTGTTCACTCGTCTTGATTACTGTGAAATTTATTAATCATTAACACCAATCTATAATAGTACACTTTGAAACGAAATCGACGAACCATGACTTGAAGCTGTAGTGGATAACAGTCGTACTAGACTACCTAATTGACGCCATAAGCTATTCTGGATATACATTTGCAGTAAGGCGATGTCCCGCTTGTCCAGTTAAATTCAGGTATGATACGATATATGAATATGATGGTTACCGGTTATCGTATGGTAACAAGTTACAGTTCGATGTAAGAATGGATCACTCTTATAAGGTGAGACTGGCTAAAGGTAAGGGTCTCTATGTCTCTCCGCCCTTATTTGCCCATTTTTACCCTATAAAGTTGGGCGAGGCCAAAAATTATGGTATTTTTACATACATCAAACCTGAGTTCCAAGAGTTATGCACTTCAAAATGGGTCGACTTCTACCACAGCTCTCAGAACTTCGTCATTCACCCTCGTAAAGGATCTCCCACGAAACGCTTCGAATTTGGATTTCCTGAGACTGACATGACGTAAAACGACTAATAACGTTCCCCCCCGTTTGCGTAGTTTTACAATAGATCTAATACGGTAAGGATAAGTTTCATGTATAGGAAAGCCACGGTTCGAATACTCCTCAGTTTGAAAGACGCTTATTTACTTCAAGTGCTGGATGGGCACGCCATAGTGGAGTGGCTGACCCTCTCGGCTACTCTGCAAGCTGCCGATTGCTTCATCCACAACAACTATGCCAACCTGTGACAGCTTGTTTTAATCTTAATTGTGAGGAAACGGTTTGCTCTAGATTATTTTTACATCTGGCGCAACTATGCAGCGTTCTTTGTTGCTACTACAACTACTACCGAATATGAGGCCAAGCTACCGTATGTTAGATGTCGTATCATTATCATTGGATGATACTGTAGCACTATACAACCGGTTCTGTGGTCTGCTCTAGTAATGAGCGGTCTTCGTAATGAACTGTAGTCCTAATCCGAACGGGTGCGGACCATACAAGAGCAACTTCATGGACGCAATAAAGCAAAGAAAAACATGGTGCATAGGAATGATAAAAAAACTGTAGCATCACCACTGCTACCTACACTATAAAAAACGAACGCTTTATAGATGGACAGATACCAAACAAAGTGGCTCATAATAAAGTGACAAGTTGCAATATTTACGAAACGGGCACATGAGTAGGAAATTAAATGCCTATAAAGGTCAGCGAGTGATTTGTTGTTGTTAAGGCCTAAAAGAACATGGTAGAAGTGAGCCAACCAGTATGAGGCGGCACCAAAGTGAAGATATGTGATCCTACCGCTTTAGATTTTCTGCGTTTTTAATGATAAATGCACGTTTTTCGGTTTCCGAATAAATTGTCTAGGCAAAAGTCAGTGAAAGTTACTTTGATAAGGTTCCTCTATTTTTCTCAGAATGGCGTTACCAGTCACATTAAAAGTTACCTCAGAATGATGTGTATCAGAATTTGTGTAAATTGTGATGCACTACTTTACTGTAGACGCAAGACAAAAGCAACGCTACATATAGCTGACTCTTCACCTTACGATAAAAATATATTAAAAAAAACAATGCATATAAACCAACGGTCTATTAAATGCGAACGCGGATTGGCAATACGAATGCAAAGGGCGTCTCATTCAGATTTACTACAAAAACGGTTAACTCTTTTCACTTGCCTCGGACATTAAAAGTGGATGAACGAACGAGCGAACAAACATACGAAATGAGTAGGCGTTTTTTGATTGTGGAAGGCGAAAAAAACAATATTTCGCATTAATAAAGGCGATAGATATCCTGTCAAGGGAGTCTAAAACAAAAAAAAATCACTTATTATCACTTACGTTCTTCCTCATTGATTCTCTAGCGATATTATTTATAAATACTTACTTTGTCTCGTAAACGACTTTACATCTGCAATATCATTCCGAGATTTATAAAGTAACACTATGACATTAACCATCTCTAGTGGGGTGAAGCGGGGCACGTTACATATCATCGACAAAATGAAGACGAAGATGAAAGAAAATGAAGCAGAATCCTTTGCAAACCATGTAGCTCCGCTAGATACTGTCAAGCGTGCACCGAAGTACTAATATTAACAACAAGAACAACAACAACAGCGTGAGTGGTAGCACTAAACCTTAAGCAATAGATCACGCCTTCCTTAACCTAACAGTACTGACAGCGTTCAAACATTGTGACTAGAGATGATACCGTAGCCCAGCGTATCAACGGTAACGGCCACTATGCTATTGAAACCAAAGATAGAACCTTAGTCAAAGGTCGTAGACTATTTATTTATCCTATATATATATTTAGCTTCATTGAAACAGTTCGCTTTTTATATGTTAAATCATACTAAACTAGTGAAAAAGGTTACTGTTATAAACAATCATATAACTGTCATAAGCCATGTATCATAAGCTATCTGCCACAGCCTTTGGTCAACGGTCAAGTTTTGGTCAAGTTCGACAAATATTACAAAAAGAATTATAGAATGGCTCTTATGGAATCCTTTGCGAAAATAATACTCCAAGGTTGGTTGTCGGGGTTCTCGACACAATATCTGAGTTGGTTCATTTTGATAATGTCAGTGGGTAATGCGGCAAATATCTTACTGATTTTAATTTTACAAATGCAGGACAACAATAGCCTCATATCATTCTCGGTATCTTTTGTGAATATTATTTTTCATCAACGTTCCGAGGACTACTAATCTCAGCTGAGCCCACTTTGGGCTTCGTAAGTTAGATCATCCTTTTCATAAGTTGTAATATCTGAAATAACGTATCCACCTCATACAATACTTTTGAAAACCGAACTCATCGAAAATACTGTCACCAAAGTTGCATGGTGTACTCGTTTAGGTCAGACATACCGATATATCGATGTATCCAATAATTTTTACAGATTTGCAACAATGCATTAGTCTTATATAAGGAAATACTAGACATGATTATGAACACTAATTATTTGCCACAGATAGTATAAATAATGGGGCAAACTTTAGTGTACCCTTCTTTTTATTCCGATTTATTTGTTTTCATTTTATATTTTGCTTTTTTTTGCGTTTTTCGAGTCAAATGACAGTTATTCTTTAAACCAAAGCGTGCGCAAGTGAACATTAGACAAGACGAAATACAATTTGCTGTGGTCATATTCTAAGATGTAACCTAGAAACAAACCTATCAGTTTCAATTACCTCGTACAATGTTTACATTATAACGACTTTTTTGGCTCCAGAAGTAAAAATCAGACTAGTGCAAGGTTAGTTGTATTGACTACAATGCAATTAACCGAGTTTGTTAAGTCGACCTTCAAAGGATATCCTCGTGTGGCTGCAGAATGTGGTGCATCCGAATGTTGAGACTAGTTGCGTTGTTGCTAAGTCGCATCCGAAGGGTTTCACTTGTTTGTAATAAATATTATATTCTTTCGCAGTGAATTGGATAACAATTTTGTCATTTTCAATACTGTGGCTGAATTTATTAGTTCTGCCATATAACGCATGAATAATGAATCGTTTCTCGAGTCCTGTGCAACTTTGTTCTACCAGATACTTGATGCGCAGTTAAAGCAACATCCTATAAAAATATATTTTTGTATTAGCTTTTAAAGTAGTTGAAATCTGTACATGGCTTTTATTCATAAATCGTAGCGATTTTCTTAGGAATTTATGCTACCTGCGGGTTGGCAGACCATGGACCACGTGTTTTCGTTTGATTCATTCACACAAAGCTTGAATTTTCTTAGACACACTACTTATACAATACTCTAGACTGCGATGCAGATTTATCCAGAGCGTAGGGCACTTTTTAAATGCCGTCGCTACATAAATAATTCACATGTCAGTAAAATAACGTACTACTTACCCCAAACCAATATAGATCCATTATGAAGATCACGTAGAGCATGAGGATCATGAAGACGGAACATGATCCGAGGACAGCCATATTCGATGTGTCCAGAAGAATGCCTGATGTGGCATAAATCGCTTTGAACGGATAGTAATACAAACGAGTCAGGGCCCTAAGGGTCACAAGTAACAGCAGAGGCAAAATACGTTATAGAGGGTGCTCCGTTCCCAACTGCTACGGGTGACCAGCGACTAAAAATATTAATCTCTCTAAAACCAATATATACAATCTTCAAGCAATATTGATAGCGATAATACACTCGATTAATTATTTGTTGCATGGCCACCCTTTAGTTCTATGCGGCGCATCACGCAGTGGGTGCTTGCTCTATCGTCAATAAAACATTCCTGATTTTGCTTCTAACACTACTTTGGTATAATATTATAGTAATACTGCTTCCTTAATGCAACATTCTATTTGCTAATTTTTGTGATAGTTACGCATGCGTGATATTATTACGCATAGCCCTAAATTTGTGTGTCTTAGCCCTAAAAGTGTGCGCCCCTTTATCATTAAATTTACCATGATTATTTGGAAAAGCTAGAAGTCATGTACTTATATGCCCAGAAATATGCTTAAGTAATGCTAAAATAATGTGAAAACAGACCACGCCACAGAAGACAAGCAAGAAGTATACTTTCGCGACGCTATCACGATTCTGATTGCTAGTTTGTCTTATTTGTAAGTCATGAATCTCATGAAGGTGCTGGCTGATTATCAAAGGCAGGGAATTGAACTTACTTCACATTCACTTTATAATCATGGTAACCGGGAATTCCGGGAATAATATATTATGCGTGGTAGTCCCGCAAGGCCTACTAATCTGTATTCGTTTGTTTTAATATGTTATCTTTGTTCTATTGCAGGACGGATGCACATGTCTTTTACATAGTTGCTGAATAAACGCAACAAGGTCATTCAGTTTATATACTAATAGTGTGCATAATGAGTGATATTCAAGTATAATTTTAAGTTATTTTAGTTTATGTATCACTTAAATCCCTTTTTAAACCATATAGCTAGCAGTAATTGAAAGTGGCTGTTAGCGCCACACATATGACCAAGCTATATACTACAATAATTAAACAATACATTCAAGTTAGGATTAAGTGAGCTCAATCGTAGTACTATGTAAAACAAGTCTTATGTATTGTTGTTGTCCTTATATGCCCAGCATTTTTATAGCTCTCGAAACACGTAAATTACCATTACCAACATCAGATAACACGTTTAAAAAGACCGCTGTTACCAACTAACTATTAGAAATTGATGTCAGCTCGTTTACTAGCTATACGTACTTAGTAGTTAAATGCAAAGTTTCGCATTAATTAGGCATATATTTTGTTTTATTATTCATACACTGCACCATTGAATCCAATACTTCCATACTCTGTATTTGAGGTAATTTTTATTTTTAAGACATTTAAACGATATAACGGATGGATATATATATATATATATATATATATATATATATTGCGTCACATTACTACGTCAATTTTTCGCAACCTAAAGGGTTGGCTTATCACATTGTGATATTTTATGAGAACTATTTTTGATAATGATAGCATAAAAAGGGCACGACTTGATTTAAATAGTGTTTGGAATTATAGACATTTAGTATAATAGAAAGATTAAACAAATGTAAGTATATTAATAAAGATAGGTGTAGATAGTCAGCATCATGTAATAATCTTTCCCAACAATTTTTCACGATTCGTGTATCGTTTACATACTACTTCGGCTGCCTTTGAAAAAGAACATTGTGACCACGGATTGTGCTCCCTGCGTGTACATTGCATCCAAGAATAAAACCAATTCGAATATAAGAGTCTCTCGAATTACGGATTTTGCAAGTATCATAATCAAATATGACAGAGAAAATTCTAGTTTTGCATTTATCCCTTGGATTCATAGTAGACAAGGAAATAAATAGTAGGGCTTACATTTGGAAACGATGTGAGTCTAGAGTTTAAAAGAGGTTAGCTTGCAGTTTCCATAAAAAGTAGGCTTGCAATTTACATCAGACCTGTCTGAACTAAAAAGTATCTTTTACGAATTTGAAACCCTGTCTTTTCTTGTGTGCTCATTTATGTCATACTCATTGTAAGCTCACCGTGTAGGTGCCTCACGGGACTATTTCGAAGCGCTTAGAAATTACTATGATGTATTTATATTAAACCCTAGCCAGATTTGCAAATCACACCACAGCACAGATGTCACTCGAATCTGGAACCAATGAAGTTCGTGATAGGTAGTGGACTGGGTTGAGCATCACACAATGCGCAAACGGAAATCAATTTCATTGTTACTCCTCCACCGCGTATATAAGGTATAAAGAATACACCCACTAGCGAGACACAAACTGAGAAAATCTAGTTTTTTTGAAAAAAAGCATACATGATACAAGATCTGTTAGTCCACAAAAAATAAATAGCTTTTGAATTTAACGCTGAAACCGTAAATAGAAACTGGATTTTAAGCCAATTTTGGTTAATACATTTCGTTAATACGACCTTTGTAACATTCTATTTACCCCGATCCGACTAGATATATCAGCTATTTACTACACCCATGTGTTTGGATTACCAAGTTCTTTTGGTAAGGAACGGAGTATCCAAAAAAACAGGATCAGTAAAATGAAATAAGAGAGTAATGCACAAGGAATCAAAATGTGGTACTAAGTGCAATCTAATCTAGATTTAGTTGCACTTAGTATAAACAAGATTCGAAATCAAGTCGTGCGCCGCGTACCTTTAAAGTCCCAAAAATGCAAATGCCTGCCTTTAATTCCGATTTTGCACTTCACATATACTAGTAATACCACTGTTCGTTGGCTTAAAACCCAACGAACAACAATGGTCGACTTGTTTGATACTCAATTCACTATACGCAAGTAAAGAGTTCTGACATCTATCGAACTTATTATAGCCTGATTATCGGACGCTAATTAAACTAATAAAACTGTTTTTTTAATTCTTGTTAATACGCATTGCAGGACTGAGATTTTTAATACGGTATTATTTTCGCATATTGACCCCTAATAACAGGAACGTTACTTAAGTAGTAATTATTACATGATGCGAACGGAACTCTCATTAGCAAAATCTCAGTTTTTCCTCCTTTTCCATCTCCTCCTCGCAGGGGCTGCCTTCCTTTCCACTTTTCCCAGTTAGCTATAACGATCCTTACCGCACCCCCGTCTATGTTGTTCGACGATATAATTTGCACAATAATCATTTATTGACCCCATTTTTATGGTCGCGGAATCAATCGATTTTTGCAAAAAGAACATTCGCTGCAATACGACGACTGACATTTGAATTGTTAGCCATCATTGTTGTTGTGGGGCACCATTTTCGAAAAGTGAAAGGAAAGGGATCGGTATCGATGCCAACAAGGAATATAACAACAACAACACCAGCCGATATTCGCCTGTTTGTCTGCCTGTTTTTCTAGTTGCGATGCTTATTTCAACCTGTCACCGGAACCCACTGTCACGGCCTTCGCCTTGGTTACAAGCAACGACGGCAGCAACAGCATCTCCTGCTCGTAGTGATAATGGTATAACTATTGGTACTTTTATTACACGCTGTGCTGTATAGCTTTTGCTGCTGCTGCTACTGTAGCAATCGTCGTCATGGTAACAACCGCTACCGTCATTATCAGCATCATCGAAATCAACACCACAATGATCACATCGCCGTGTTTGTGGTCGTGGTCGCCATACGTACATCCAGGTCGCCACTGACCCAATCAACGTTGACAAAGTCACCGGCGGTAATGAAGAACTTCAATTGAAAAGCTGGCACGGACACAAGTAACCCTCACGGCTGCATTTATATTGCTGTTGCAGCTTCTGCTAAAACGGTTGTTAAGACTTTTGCAAGAAAAGAAGATCGACGGCTTTAGTGGCAGCCTCTGCCGCTACTGCGGCAGTAGTAAATATGACGAGGGACTGATGGGATGACAGCAAATGGTGTCTTCAAGACGGTCTTTATTTGTTGCTTGGCCAATCAGCTGAAGTTGCTATTTCGGCTGCACTTGCTATTCTCCACACATTTGTCGATTCATTTGTTCGGTGTGAGTGAAAAGCGCAACCGCAGCGACCAAAGTGTTGTAAATAGCAGTATCACCGTTATTATTATTAGGCGTCGTCAGAGGACCGCAATGTTTGAACGTTGCTGTCGCACTTTTGTCTACGTTAATACTTAGCATTGTTGTCTTTCATAATGATTGCGTATGTCGAGATATACGCATGTAACAGGAACGTTCATCTAATCTAATTTACCGTTTGTATCACAGTAAGAACGCCCTTTGAATTTATCATTGCTTGAACTGTGTCGAACCGTTTGCATCCTATGGAAGTGGGAATACAAGTGTTTACATATTGCACAATTATATATATATATATATATATATTATATATAGTTTTCGCTGTGATGTTTTGCTACGACAGGATTTCTCATCTACGGTACTCCTCCAAACCACTGATCTTGAAATGTAAATTTAGTTAAATAAAAAATGAGTGGAAGAGACAGCACACTCAGGCGGAGAACTAGAAAATAGCATCTTTGCCCAGTACGTCATTACAGGGAAACACAAAGTCGGTTTTACATACGGTTGGCTTGAGCCAACAACTACCTAAGCTTGGTATCCAGATTGTTTGATCTGGCTAAACCGTCGCTTTGTGAATACTCATCTATTTCCTAAAAGAATCAATTCCATTTTAATAAGCTAGAGCATTCCAAGCTATAGAAATGATTCTTGCAGTTGGCAGCCCTTGTGCTGACGGAACAAAAGCGAGGAAGGAATTACTAATCTAGCTTTTATATCTATATTTATGTATCTGGGCATCTATGTAGAGAAACTGCCCCAAAAGGTTTAATATGATAATTAGGAAAAACTATAATAATGTTATTGCTGCACACACCTTTGGTGCCGATAATTATGCACTCGGATCTGGATTTGCGCAAAAACGTCCTATCAACATAAGAATCGATCACGTAGGTAATTACATAGTTAAATGCAATATCGAACGCCAATAATTTTTCAGATATTCAGATTTTTATTGACTCATGTTATTGACTCATTATCTCGGCAGCGTGTATT